ATGTAGGATCTTAGACCTTATACGATCTAACTTAATGGTGTTAAAATATTCAGACTCAGAGGTAGGTGTCTCCGAAATTTGAAGAATGTTTTATAATTTGTCCATTTGTGTGTACGACGCCACCTCCCAAACGCTATATCAGTCTATTGTTAAATACAACGTGTTATTGAAACAGTAAAGCTGGTTTATTGTTTTTCGGCTGCATCCCACACCGATGTCCGATGCAGTTGAAAAACATTAGAATATTCAACAAGAACTCGTTCTAATTCGATCGCACTTTGATTCTGTACCGCTAAATATTATTCCGTTTATTATGCATTCAGTTCATGGTGTGATTTGAAAACCGTTAAAATTTAAATGACCCAGTCCTTATTACGAGGTGCTACGGCCTATTATTGCTCACGTATTTTGATGTATGGATCTGTCGATCGTTGTTGGAATTGCATTTGTGTAAATGAGTGCCACCCTCGCACTGACGAGAATGTCGTTTTGTTTATGCAACTTGTTTGCTTTTGTATCGAAGGTGTATATGTCAGTGGACACGGAAATCATTGGATTAATGTCAGCCGGTAATAAAAAAGTAATTACAAATTACCTAATCGCTTCCCTAAAGCAAATGTTAAACATCACTTTCGAACATTCTTGATTACAAAATCATGATTGCTTCTTTGTTAGTGTTTACAGAAATTGCATACCTATTTGATACTGCAATGTTTTTATCAATACGTTCGTCAACAGAGTCATTCATATTATTTGTTATCAAAGCAATCCTGATAGTGTAGATTGATAGCGAAATTATCGTCATATTGATTTGATATTTATGTATTTCAATTCTATGTTTGATCTTAGTAACCTAATTTTAGAAATATCATTTCAATAGCCAGATTTCTTGTAGCAAAGTTTCGGTTTTTGTTCACACTCTAGTGCCAGACTCATCGATTTTCACTCTCAGCGCTACTGAATCACCACTATCTATTGTTAACACCTTTTTTGGGGTACAAAATCTAATAAAATGAAATTACCTGAATGGTGAGACCGGAATACAAAAGAAAAATTGTTTACAACGATTTTTACTTTCGAAAATCAAATATCTACTAACTTTACTTAAATTTCGAGAGACTAATAAGTAAAATATTTAGTTGTTTCCTCTAACATTGCAAGGCGATTGCAACACATTGAATATCATTATGAAGTACTAATGTATTCAAAGGTTATAGTTTTCTATCTGCCCACCTCTCCAAGTTAGGTGGGCGACACTCGCTAAATATTTGGGCTCTTACGAACCCACGGCTGTTCTACATTACCTTATGCACTTGAGTAGATAGACAGATAATATTAGTTCCATTTACACCTCGGATGATGATAAATACAAACAGGTTGAATCAGAACAACTGATAAATCAACAAATTGAAGTAAATCCTTAGTGTACCGAGACACAGCTGCAAAACGAAGACGTAATCTTCTATTGATTTCAATTAATGAATGTATCTGCTCGTCCTACATAAATCGGCACGTACGAAACAAAGGAACAGAATAGCAAACCTTGACGAAAACTAACACAATGAACTCGTGGGAAATGCGAAAACGTCTTAATTAAACTCATTTCCCGTTGTAAAGCGTAACAGTTAAAGCCATTGTGAAAAACCAGCTGATTCATATAAATTGCTTGAAACGACAAATTGCTATACAAAAGGACTGGCACAATGTGTACTGTGTAGTTGATATTCGTTTATAAGCGGAGGTTTAATAACAGCGAGTGGTTCTGCCATTGTACCTCGACACGATGTGTAATAGCACAAAGAACAAACTACAATGGATGTCTTCGTCGGTCCTACCTAGCCTGTAAATAGCGATAGTTTCTAAGAACATGAGAGTAGAGACTTGAGACACTGATCGCCATACATCTTGTCTATGCGCTATTTTCAGAGTGTTCGCGTGCTGCTGCTCATTTTGCTAAGCTGTCTTCGATTATCCACTTAGTACTTTCATCTTTCACTTGTTAAGTGCTTCTGAAGTATGGAGAAATGATATTTAATGTTTTCGTGTTATCTTGTACTGTACTTAACATTTTCTTTCATCCTGTAGTTGCTATTCCTTTATTCCCTGTCAATAGCGTTCCGTCTTTACGAATGATTGGAGCCCCTAATGCGGTTACAAAGCTATAAACAATTCCATGCTCCGTAGCCATCAAAACTTTGATCATTCTAAGTAATGCCCTTCCCTGTTTTGTGCCCTTTCTAATCAAAGAACGAAGAAACTCACAGAAAAGGGTCGGTGTAATACAATTTTAACTCCAAATGTTGTAAAAGTACAGCTACTGCAGTAACGAAAATAGTTGAAAAAGCTCTAAAAATATCGCCTAGAAACAGGTGATTAAGAAGTACAGGCAGCACGCAATGTTAAAAACGGTGTTGAAAGTCTAGCTGCGAGTATTAGGAAGATGGCGTGCCGCGACTTCGGTGTTCCACTCGGACGGTCGCGTGCTGCCATTGTGTAACTTTGCAGTACAATAGCCCCTGTACGCTGCACAGTGTACACAATGTAAGTGCACGGAATTTGCACTGCAAGCTGTGGATGCGAAATAAGAGTCCATATTTTTAAGAGCTACGTTAAGCAAGCCTTATGACCTCCAAGAAAACTAGAAGTATCTATGAGATATGAAGCAGTAGAAGACTGTGTATTTTCATTTATTATTTGCCTCTCAATTTTCGTGATTTTAATCAGTAAGCTGATACCTGAAATACGCTACTACTCCTCCCCTAGATCTTAAATTTTATTTAAAACAAATGAGACAAAGATAATGTGTCATACATAATTAATCTCCAAATAGCATCTAAATTCAACAGAATTTGAACAAAGACAAAAATACTTGTCATAATTTCTCGTGGCCTAATTTCGTCTGAAAAAGTCGACGTCTATAAGGAAAAGAACCAGCACGAGCAATTTGATCCTAATTACCTCTCATCATCGTAATAATCTTGGCAAGCGACACTCGGTGCTTAAAAAAAGTGAATCATGTTCGAAATATGAATATAATAACGCTTCCATTTTTGTGGTAACTGTCACATTGCGCACGCGACGAGCGTCCGTACGGGCAACGGTCGGTAATGTACCCTTTTGAACTGTTAATTGGTACTTCCTTCCCTCATTGAATTGTGGTGGTCTAGCTGCAATGCAGCTGTGCAGTAACAAGGCAATAATAAGCTGTGGACTCGTTATTACTCTCAATTGTTCTGGGTATAATGAAATTACGAAAAATGTAGTAATAAATGTTATTTGAAGTGGCTACTGACCAAACATTAAAGTAATCTGTATTGAAGAAGTCACAACTTTGGTTGGACAATATGATATAGCTTAACAACCACAGAATTCAAGAATTTCATTTCAATTTTCCTCAGAGCTGTTACACAAACCCGGCAAGCTCCTTATCACATTATTGATCAGTCAGCTGAGGAACAAGTACAAACAAACATAGATAACCTTGTATGATACCTTCACAACATCCAGTCTTCTTATGAACGGCCTTGACGAGACGCACCTTAGACTACGCGATGTAGTTGCGTTTATAAATTAAAATTTTACGATCTTGTTTGCAGTTCTATGCTAATTCGTTACGTCAGGGTCTTATTCTGAGGAAAATAGGTAATGATTTCAAATGACTTGATGATTCTTCTTTTTATTGTCTTCTACTTTCTGTTCTTCAATTACAGTCTCAGGAATTCCAATTGTATATGTATATCCGTTTATGGATTTTCCGGTATCCATAGTAATAGGTAGCTCTTAGATACACAGTCGTTATTTATGGTAAAGATTGTAACTTGGTTCACGTTTACATGTCGATGTAAAGCAATAAACTGTACGTGACTGATATGTTAAGTTGTACGACGTTTGCAGAACTGATGGGTGTAACACGAACGATTTATGACTTTGCAAATACTATGTTCAAAGTAAAATGTTTGGAATTGTTTGATTTTTCCTCCCATTCAATTTGTTGAAGCCATCTCCAAGCATTCCAATCAGAAATCGTATGTATGAGGTACTAAGATTCAAGGTGAAGTGAAACAATTACAATGTCTGATCCTACAATTAGAAGCGCCACTTGTCTCGTTGTCATGTGAGCACTGCACGGTCTGCATGTTTATAGTATCAAGTGTCAAAACAAGTGCTTCACTTTTACGAGCTGCCATGGCGCTAGATATTTAGCTGTCTTTAAAACAAGGGCACTCGTTTCTCAATGATTTAGTTTTTCCTCTATTTTTGATAGTATGGGGTCACATGGTTGATGCTTCCCGCAAATTAAAGTAAAGAAATTATTTTTCTAATTATGTTTCTATCTTTTCCATTAAAAAATGAAACGATTTATGTTAAGAGGTTCACACTCTTCCTAGAGTGGAATGTAACTGTGAATAAATTTCAAAATTGATAAACCATTAAGTTCTGTTTCAGTACGGTATCAGTCATTAGACCTTGGAAGTTTGAGATATTATTAAAATAGTATTGTTATTTTGGCCTTATTGAAAACAGTTATATCTGAAGTATTGCTCAAATCTTCCAAAAGTTTTGAGAATACTGCCTTAGAGTAAAGCATAAACAGTACTGATTTTCTCGTGTGACTGTTAATATTGTTTTCTAAACTCAGCCTGTTTAGTTTATCAACTTTCATTCACACTGTCTTGTAAGCAGATTCTTATGTAATTCTCTCACACTTATCGCAATATCATTACGTATGATGCTGTCATATTTTAATTAAAGTATAGTTTTAATTTATCGCACAACTACTCTCTCATACTAATGAGATTAATCAGAAATACACCATAGCAACTATATTCTATTCTCGTTTTGTTTTAAAATAATAATACGACACGAACCTCGTCGAAGAAAGGTTTACTGTGCTTAAGTAGTTCCTCAATTTGTCCACCAGAAACCAAATACTTTGATATAATTGGCACATGCGATTTATTATTTTATCCTTTCTTATCTTTTATCCTTCTTTCTTCCAGGATCCGTCCACAGACACCAGCTGAGGTGGTCGAGGGTTGTGGTATATGTGCTCGAGCTGGCGGACCTGCTGGCGAGGGTGGGGTTGCCCTGGGATCAGAGCGCGCCTTCACCTTCGACTACGCCTTCGAACCATCATGTTGCCAGCAAGCAGTATATGACACTTGTGTCAGGAAGCTGGTGGAAGCAGCCTTGGATGGATACAATGCTACCGTGCTTGCATATGGACAGGTTGGTGGATTTTTAACATTAGAGCAAAAACATATCGTAAAAACTACTTCAACATGCTGTTGATTCAATAATCATGTGTAATTTTTGGTTGATTATGAACGTTATGGCTGATGAATACATTAGCAATATTGTCAATATTAGTGGCGACGCCACTTCGTTTTCGATTATAATGCTAACGACGCGATACGCATTAACTTTAACAATATTTATGTAACTTGGATAACATTGATATTTCTGAAATAATCTTAATACTTAATGCTAATCTACAATGCCATGGAAGCAAAACCAATCTTATAAATCGTCTAGTAAAGTAATAAGATATGACTTTATCGATTCATTTTTCAATTTAAAAGTACAATAAAATTCAATTCCGAAAGTACATCGACCTGAAAATTCACTGTTAAAGAAAGTTAGTTTCGTACAAAATTATTTGCTGTTGTCATCCAAATATGTATTTATCATGCAAACTTTGAAGCTTTATGTTCGTTTTTTCTTAGAGAAACTCGTCTACTATTGACCTAGTTGTGCTAAAAATATGGAAGAACACTAGTTTGTAGTGCAATTGTTGCATCTCACGAACGTGTTCAGTCGCCGACGGTTCCGCTTCGCTTAGAGGTAGCATTGTGTTCTGACTTCTCAGCATCTCTTAAAGGTTAAGGCTACAGAAGTGTTTCTACCTCTAGTAGTTAATTATCATATTATAGGTTTTCTTCAGAATGTTCTCAAGGATTTCTTCATCAAGAAGACGATTAATTTCATCGAAATCTTACCTTATTCTTTCTTTTTGTCCATGTTCTCCGTTAAATTATAATTCTGCACTGAATCTTAGCTAGACTCAGTCTATTCGATAATTAACAGACCGTAGAAAATCTTTCAAAAAGACGCCTATCTTCGTGTTTATTTCAATGAAAAATGTCAATTCGCACCTTATCATGGCCGCTGCCCACTTCATTAGAATTTCTGCTCATTTAAATTGCCATGGGTTAACCCCATGAATCACTCGTTGGAGGCTTGGCACGTTGTCAGGACTTCGTACACGACCAGCTAAAATGAAATGTTAATAATATTGTCTCGTGTGTTCTCTTAGACATTTGAGATTAGGTGCAATTAATTGGTTGGAACATATTTGGAGAACGCATTGGTCACACCCGGGCTCGTCTTGTAATGTTAATAACTTGGCGTTGTCGTAAAATAGAAAGACATAATATGTGACATTTGCATTATTTATTAAATATCTTAGTTTTGAAATATATTAGGTTTCTGTAGATAACACAGACTTTAAAAACTTCAATCGATATATGCATCAATCAGGGTGCAAACGACGCTGCACACACTCGTAGTTAAATCAACTTCTTCAGTGCGCAGTGAAGTTATGGCCAAGTTTCATCAATTTCTTAAACTACTAATGGCAAATCTACGACAGATTACTTCAAACACGTAATTGTTATTATTCCCTTCGATTACAACAACTATGATATAAAAAGCAGTACGCATAACAATATTACATAAACGCATCTAAGCGAAATGTGGTAAACACTGTCCCTTGACCGACTTTTAAAAATTGTTAGTACTAGTAAAGGCACGGTCTGATGACCTGGGCAAGCATGATGAAAGAGTGTTAGGAGACAATGGATATTTAACGCTGGAGTTCAAGGTAGACACGAGAAAAGGTGTAAAGAATGAACCCATTGTATAAGAGGTCGTGTCGCAGTTAATTGAGATTAATTAAGAGTAGCAGAAACATGCTGTCTCCGAACAAATAGGTATGTCGCTAGAGAATTTCACACAAATATAGTTCAAGAAGATTTAGCGATTGTTCCTCTATCTTGCAACTATTTCGTTTCTTTAAACATTAAGGACATGAACAGGAAGTATAGTTATGTAATTTGTCCTCAAGATCCACAACAAAGCTTATAATGAAGGGAATCCCTGTACTGTGGTCACTTATCCCTGCAACTTGGTAAGGGTCTTAGCTAGATAAGTAAACCGCTCAGCCCATATAAAGTTACCACAACAATTCAATTAAAACACCGTGAAGGCCGCTACAACTGACATTAATTACTCGCCACATACTCAGAACAGTATGGCTGTTAGTTATCTTTTTATTTAAGTAAACAGCTGTATCACTCGATTAAAATCACCTAACCTAACTTACTTTCGGTATAAGGTATACTAGACTTTTCTGAATCCTTGATATTAGAGGTTTCGCTAATGAGAGCTTTTTCATTAACCTAAATTCAGTTTATTCCTTGCTCAAAATGTAATCTTATTTTTGATATTATCTTGTCGTTACCAAATGTCATTCGTTTCTTGGGACACATCTGACTGGACTCGGACTAGGTAGTTTAGATTATAGGTGGTAGGTAGGTCGAGATTTCCAATTAGATTTCAGATTTGGGAATGTCCTTAATATGAAGGCGAGTGTCCCAAAAACCTATATGTTTTTATTACTAAACAAACAGGTCGTGTAGAATTTCATTCCTTTTGCATATAAAACTTGACATTTGACTGCATAATAAAATAGGATACGTTGCAAAATACTTGTATGCTATAATGAACTTTGGAGTCGGGTTTAATGTTCATAAAGTTTAGGATCGAAAGCAGGAAAAGAAGCCGTATTACAACAAAGCAAGTCTTGTTTACAACGTGAAATATTTAGTAGATAGCCATTAGACTTATTATTTAAAATTAAATACCGTGAATCGGGCCGTGTGACTATGAGAGCTATGTGTCATATTTTACCATAGACGTGAGAATTGTGATGTTCTGATATTTTCCCAATCAAATGTCATTATATTTGCATTGTCTGCTTCTTTGTCTTATTGTCTCCTATCATCTCACTTCTAACCTGGTAGTCTAAACCTGTCCAAAATTGAGAAGAAAGACCTACTAACCCAAAATAACTTAATTAGTTACCTTGAAGCTCCCTCAGAACTATTAATTGCTCGATGACATATTTAGGCTAGAATTTTACGCAATCAATATTATAATTAGAGAATTTTAGGTCAAGAACATACTAAAATTTTTGTTCGGTGTAATGTGGGTAAAGTGAGTTAGCCATTCTTGGATTAAATAATAAATTTATTATATGTTTACCAGCACGCAGATTTCTTATTTGTTACCCTTTTTTATCATATGTCTAGGTCATACAAATCTTTTACTTTCTTCTCTTTTTCAAGTTGAATACATTTATCAGCTATTTTTTTTTTTTTTTTTTTTTTTTTTTTTTTTTTTT